TTATTTATTTATTTATTTATTTATTTATTTATTTATTTATTTATTTATTTATTTATTTATTTATACCCCACCTATCTGGTCCGAAATATCAAAGGATTGCTATGTCCATGCTAATCCATCCATCAGATACCAGTAAAACATATAAGCAGAACTACCATTTGCAATGGGGACAGAAAACCTCCTACTATCCCCATCTATGACCCTTACAAACAATTTTCTCTGCCCTCACAGTCAACTCTCTTGGCCCTTTTTCCTTCCATCCCAAAACTCACAAACATCGTATCATAGAAATCAAAGTGACTTCTATTCACCTTGTACACATGGAATGATTAGTGTAGGTTCATGTTGCTGCCACAATCATCTCCATACAGCATTCTCTTTCATGTGTTCAGATAGATCTATTCATAGTGGATAATTAATTCAACTGCTATTCTTTGTGCTGGCTTTGATTTCTACAAATGCTCTATTTGAGCTGAGTCAATAAATATTTAAAGGATCGACGAATTTCAGCCTACAGTTTATTTTGAAGACGTGCTGCTTTATTACGTGACTTGTCCTGCATTGGTTTCAATGAGAAACTTGGTTGTAGTCTCCCTTCAGAGAGAGTGAGATGTATCTCCAAGCATGAAAGTATGGTGCACACACTATAGTCCGTAAGACAAGAATACGATAGATGGTGGTATACAAAAAATCCCTTGGTGATTATCCATCTAGTTTACCAACAAAGTGGCAGAATAACAGAATAATGGAGTTGGAAGGGGCCTATAAAGCCATTAAGTCAAACCTCCTGCTTAGTATAGGAACCCAAATCAAAGTAGATCTTACAGACATTTGTCCAGTTCTCTCATTAATGGCCCCAGTACTGCAGTGCTCACCCTCTACTGAGGTAATTGGTTCCATTGTTGTCCTGCTCTAACAAGTTTACATTCAGATCTAGTTGCCAGAATTAAGTGGTCTGTAGGGTTTCTTCTTCCTTCTTCTTCCCCCAGAAACATTTTTAGAACCTAAAGCAAAAGCTAGGAAACAATTATAGTCGAATACATGTCTGGCAAGCATCAAGCTGAGGAAGCCTAGCATTAAGGTACTTCTACACTATCAAGAAAATTATAGTTTTGTACTTGTGCAGACAAAGACATCCTAATTATTAGAAGAGTCTAAAGAGAGAATGCTGATGCATCTCTCCCTTAATCTGAGGGGCTGGTCTCAACATATTG